AGGTATTTTCGTGTTCAAAATAACATTTCTGGGCTGTGTGCATCGATACACATTCAATGTGTACCGATGTATTCTCAAATAAATGAACATCGAATGCAATTAGTGCATCGATACAGGAGGAGTGCATCGATACACCCCCTTAAAATACAAACATCGAATGGGATTTGTGTACCGATGCATAGATAATGCATCGATGCAAACGTTAAGGGATGCATCAATGCACTGTGTAGTGTATCGATGCATACCTTCATTAAAAGATGAAAATAACTTTCTTTTTAGCCTAAGAAGTGATAGTTTAGAATATATCAATTAGTATATTGATATGTACCAATGTATTACTATGTAGATATAGAACGTAATCTTGTTCCGGAACAATCGAAGGATAAGAATCGAATCAAAGCAAGGCTAAGATGAGTGCATATCTCATATGAAATTGTATTGAGATAAGACTTGCGATGAGTCTATCTCTTATAGTTAAACTTATGATTTCACATTCATGTACATGCATATTTATATATGTATTAATGCTATAGTGCTTTCATGCATAATTTATTCATGCTTTAATATGAACTTATTTGAATGAATGCAATTATATGAGAATCCATTCAGGTATGGGAAATAATGAAAATGGTCATATGTACTCATATGAAGTGAATTATGTGTTTATGTGAAAAGTGATAGAAGAGATATGAAAATGAGAATTGTATTATATTTAAGCCCATGCTACTTAATGTGAGAGCTGTAGGTATAATTGGCATGCCAAGAGTCGAGGGATTATCAGTGGTCCTTCGGGACATAGTGGTCCTTCGGGACAAATATTCAGTGCCCTTAGTGGGATTTTATTCGAGTTGTGGTGACAACATTATGCACAACCTCAGTGTACTCACGTACATTCCGTTCTCAATAATGTAATGGGCATCCAAAGATAAATTAAATGAAAATTATTATAAGAAGTGAAAGTTCATTTGTGCATATTATATCTATATATGTTATAGTGTAGTGCATACATATACATTGCAATGATACAATAGATTTATGATAGTACATGTTCATGATTTATTTGTTAAGTATTTATTATTATGCCTCACTAAGTGTATGACTTAGCGTGTAAGTGATTTACACGTAGGTACCAAGAATCAAGAAGAGCCGAAATAGGAGTGGAAAGGACATCATCACTGCTAGAAGATCAAATCAGAAGTAACTGATAAAGTATGTATTTTGTTGTGTATAGTGTGTTGGCATGTAAGAAAAGTGTCAGTTATGAATGCTCTGATCGATTTTGGTTAATTTGGTCAATTTATATAAATAAATTACATTTATTTTAATGAAAGTTTTAAATTATCCTTGAATTTTATCAAGAGTCAAAGTTTGAAAAGTCAATGTGACACCTCAGACTCGTATTCGGGTCGGGTACGGGTTGGGGGTGTTACAATTTCGGTAACACATAAACTAATTCATTATCTTACTTCTTCCAGAAATGGGAATAACAAGGGTGTTGCGCTGAAATTGGATATTGATAAGGCTTATGATAGGGTGGGATGACTATTCTTGCATAGTGCAATGCTCAAATTGGGATTTCATCACACGTTTGTTCAATTGATCATGTCATGTGTTATCTCGGTCTCATTTGTAGCTCGAGTTAATGGCTCACTGTCACAGGAATTCTTTTCCAACTAGAGGCTTTAGACAAGGGGACCCTCTATCTCCATTTTTTTTGTTTGCCACGTAGGCTCTGTCTACATTGTTCTAGAAGCCCAACGAGAGATGACTAATAAGGGGATACGAGCATCTCAAAATGGCTTGAGGGTGTCCCATTTGTTGTTTGAGGATGATAGTCTAGTTTTCCTCAAGAATTTGACAAGAGAGGCACAAAGTATTAAAGTGATTTTAAACGTATATGCCTGCTCTTGGGGAAAACAAATTAATTTGGCAAAGTCAGTGATTTACTTTAGTCTGAATACACTGCAAGAGCACCAAACGTTAATGAGGGATATTTTTGGGACCCAGGAAGCGGATGATTTGGGGCATTACTTAGGTCTTCCGCTTCACATAGGAAAGAATAAGACGAGGACCTTTGGTTATCTACGAGATAAAGTATTAACTAGGGTAATAGGGTGGACAAGGAGACTACTTTCTTATGGGGGATATGGGGTTTTTCTTAAGGAAGTGGTTCAAGCTTTGCCACAATATCCTATGTCGTACTACTTACTACCGGACCATCTTCTGACAGAAATCACTGGTATAATGAGTCAGTTTTGGTGGTCTGGTTTGATTGATAAAAGAGGTTGGGCTCTCCTGGCTTGGGATAAGATTTACAAACCAAAACAGGTAGGCGAATTAGGTTTTTGAGATCTAAAATCATTCAATGTTGTTATGCTAGGGAAACAGTTGTGGAGATTGATTAACGAGCCAAAAACTTTGTTTGCACAGGTTTATTGGGCCAAGTACTTTCCAAATAGTAACTTGTTAAATGCTATATTAGGGAACAAAGGCTCCTATGCCTGGAAGGGATTGTTTAAAACTCTATAAAAATTGACACCAACCTTCTTTTGGTGAGTTGGGTATAATAGTAGGGTTCATTTGTTTGAGTATCCGTGGGGTGGGATGAAACAAATAAACTTGTCAGGTACCTACATTGTCTCTCAGCAGAGAGACATTTGCTGTGGTGATCTCATGTTTAGAGATCAACCACAGTGGGATCCAACCAAGGTTCGTAACGCCTTGGCCGAAGAAGTGATGTAGAAACAATTCTACAGACACCGATAGACCATGTATAACTGACAAGATAGTATGAGGCAACAATTCCTCCGATAATTATTCGGTGAGATCCGCCTATTGGTGGCTACAGAAGTCTACCCATGACATAGACTCGCCTTCTCCTTATGGAAAACAATTGCAAAACTAAAAGTGCTTCCAAAGGTACATATTTTTATTTGGCGATTAGCACATGCAACATTACCTTTGGGATATAGAGTGCGACGTGCAGGTTTGGGTGAGAGCGTTTTCCCTTTTTGTACATCGGCTATGGAGATAACATTACACATGTTCAGAGATTATTCTATGTACGAGAAGTCCTACGACTGACCGATATTCCAGGTACAGTCTTGAATTCACCAGTTCAGTCTGGTTAGAAAATGCATATGCTACGCTTGGTTTGGTTCTTTTTGCAGAGTTTGTTGTCTTGCTTTGGAACGTTTGGAATGGTCGTAATTCTTTAGTGCACGAGGGCAGAATGTAACCCACTTGGCTAATTGTAGCTAATGCTAAGGCGTTGCATCAAGAGTTTATTGGGGCGCATCGAGGATAACCTTCTCAACATGATGTTGCTGATGTGGTTGCTCGATGATGTCCTCCCCGAGGACAAATGATTAAGTTGAATGCGGATGATGCCTATAACCCGTCACTCCAGTTGGTAGTAGTTGGGGTTATTGCGCGCAAGGAATGATCCTTGGTGGTTTAGTTACGACTTCGGGTGAAATCCCTGAACCCGTCTTTACAGAATTTGCTTGTTTAGTTGCTGCTATCAATCTTGCTTTACAGGAGGGATGGCGTGATATCCATTTCAAACTAGATTCATCCACTGTCGTCAACTGCAATAATAATCCGGAGGGTGATTTTTCCACCATTGGTGTAATTATGGTTGATATTCATACTAAATGTAATACTTTTAATAGTTGTTCTATTTCATATATATCTAAAGAAGCGAATAAGGTTACCCATACTTTAGCAAAGAAGACATTGGGTTGTAATGCCTTTTATTCTTTTGGGACTGATGCCCCTAGGTTTGTTATGAATGCTGTAATGGCTGATTTAAATTATGGTTAATAGAGTTGGGTACTCTTTTTCCCTTTTAGGCCCCAACCCTTGGGTTAGTAGTAAGGGTTTTTACCAAGGTCCATTTTCTTTTAATTTTTTTTAGAGATGTATTGATTTTGGTACTACACTTTTAAACAATTTTCTTTTTATCATTGCACTTTTTTACGGCCACCAGTTGCCAATCACTGTCTGTTACAAATAATTTTTTGCAACAAAATTGATACCAAACCGTTCGTATTTAACTTCTTACTTTTTTCATATGATTAGTTTTCTATGAGACTCACTCAAAATCAATGAAATTAAATAAAAAATATATATGTTTTAGATGTTTGGAGACTTTGTTAGATTCGTATAATTTAGGGCGTTTGTAAAAAAATTGAACCGTGAGAAGCACTATTTCGAGAAGACTAACAATATATCTCAAAACAAATCTCATCGGATGATCATTGAAAGATATCAAAGTATTAATACGTCGAACTTTTAAATGAATTTTCGTCGGTTTTAAGTGAGTTTCGTGAAAAACCAATCATAACAGAAAAAAGATAAGTGAAATGAGAACTTTGATACTGATCTTACTGTGAAATATGATCAATAACGACGGTGTTTGACTGTCAGCGACAATAAAAAAGTGCAACACCCAAAAAAATTAAATTATTTAGAAGTTCATTGTAAAAACCAATACACCCCTAAAATTTTGTGCTTAAAACAATATTATTTTAAGCATCAATCGTCTTCACCAAAATAATGATATAATGACGTAATAAAATGTAAAATTTAATATTATAATTGACAAAACTAAAAATTTAATAATATTAACGAGTTAACAAATAAAATGAAGTGTTATCTGGAGTAGTTTGTTCCAAAAAAAGATCATCATCCTAATTCGAAAAAATGGAACTCTTTGTTCATCTTAACCTCTTCAATCAGTCTGTCTCGAAGAAGATTTTAAAAGATTTTGAAGTGAGTGATTGCCACTTAACAATTCACAAGTCGCACTCAGAGTTCCACTTTTGCTAAAACCCGTGGTCCTTCAATTCACCCAATCAAAACCAAACAGTCCAAATGGAAAGCCTCACAGCCCGTAACGCTATCATATGATCAAATATTATAGTATAGCCCAAGGCTAAAAACTGTAGAGATGGGATTTTATTTTGCTGCTCAGTCATTTTAATCCTTTTAGGGAAAAGAAAAATCCAAATTTCTCCTTCGAAGATAAAAAGAAGAAGAAGAAGAAAAAATTCTAGAAGAGGGAGAAAAGTTGGGTTTCTATTGTTTGTGTTTCTTTCTATTGTTTGTGTTTCTTTCAGTGGTTGAATTATAGGAAATCGAAGCAAAAATTTCGTCCCCCCCCTTTTCGAATCTAGGAAGGGAGAAAACAAAAATAGCTAACTCATGATGCGATCTTTGATTTGATTTTCGGAGTGTGGTTGAATCTAGGCCTTTAGCTTTTCCATTTTCCTGATTCATTATTAGATAGTGAGAATTACAGGCTGAGACAAACCCAAAAAAGGAAAGACTAAATAAAGCAACAGACAGAAATGGACGGAGGTGATGAGGAGGTAACAGCTCCGGCAGGACCGCCACAACCGTTGGATTGGAAATTCTCTCAGGTTTTTGGTGAAAGAATCGCTGGAGAAGAAGTTCAAGAAGGTAAATTATTATTGTTTTATGGATCCAATAGGTAATTTGTTGGTTTTATTGGAACTAGGGTTTAATTTGGTGTTTTGGATCCATTTGAGATGATGGGTTATTGAGTAATTATTGTTTAGGTTAACAGGTTGGAAAAAAAAGGTTGTGACTTTTTTGTTTGCTTTAAGTTTTAGCATCGCTTGAGTGCCAGATAGTGTTTTGAATCATTTCTGGATATTTTGTTGAAAGAAGGTAGGACGGAAGTGAACTTCAAGTTAGTGATGGCGCATGCACAAATGGTTGTGCCATTTTTTTCTGTGTTAATGGCAGTCCTTGAATTTGTGTCATTTCTGTACCTATTTTCCAGTTTTTGGAGGATTAGTGAATGACAAATCATTTACAGTATTGAGATTTTAATTGGAATTGAAATCTGGGTATTGTCACTCAGTTAGGATAGAGATAGACTATGCTTAATGAGTTTATGTCACCTTAAGGCTTAACTTGTGGATGGATGACAACATTGGGGTGGCTTGGGCTTACTATTTGTATGATGGAGGATAAAGACGGCTACAATTTACAGGTTCCTTGGTTTTGTTGGTGGTGGTTTATTTCAGATACGAATTGGTTATATTATGATTAATTTCCAAGTAAATGGGATACACAGAAAGTGAGTTAGATTTAAGTTGAATAATGTGAGATTGTATGGTGCTTGTAAGAAAGATGTAATTCAGTGATTGGTTGATACTTGATCTTTTAGATTTTATTTTAAATTTGTATCATTTAGTTCAGTAACTCAATACTGAAACTTGACTTAACAGTTTGAGTTCAACCTGTGTAAGTAAAATGTGGGTAAATGTTGAAGTATGCCACTGAAACAGATGAATGGAGACTGTAGGCTTTCAGAAACTTTGAAGTATGTATGGCGATAGTTAAGGTTGGATTCAGTGAGGTATGGATAACTCTCTGAAACGTTTCTGTTGATTCTGGTGGAAAGGACAATTATTTATCTATCGGTAGTGACTAAAGTGTAGCTAAATCTTGCAGAATTCTATTTTGAGTTCTTAAAATCAATGAATCATGGTCTCTGGCTAGGATTCTTTTGGCAAGGAATTATCTTGGACATTCTTATGATCTTAGTTCTTTTCACTAGCTGTGTGGTAGTTCTCTTTTCATTCTTTGTTGTCTCTCCAAATTGAGCATGTTATTGCCCAATGGCATTTTTCTTAAGTTTGGCAGAATAGTAGTGATGCTATGGCAATGAGAATATGCATTACAATGTTTTGGGTTCTTCATGTTAGGCATACCAGAAATATTTTATGTAGTACAGAAAATAAAATTTTTGTCAAGAGAGTAGAGACCGAGAGTTGTGATTCATTGATAGAAAGAAAAATAGTTTATATTTACTATTTCTCTTACTGGCAGTGCAATATTATTACTAAGAAAATATTTTTCCTCTTGCAGTTGATATTATTTCTGCCATTGAATTTGATAAAACTGGGGATCATCTTGCCACTGGTGACCGTGGGGGTCGTGTTGTTCTCTTCGAGAGGACAGACGCAAAGGATGTCGGTTCTGCTATCTTTGCTGATGTTAATATATTACCTTATTGTTTTTCTTGGGTTGCAACTTTATAATTAATTTATTATATTACAATTGTAGCATGGTGTATCAAGAAGGGATCTGGAGAGAATGGATTATCCAATTAGTCGGCACCCTGAGTTTCGTTACAAGACGGAGTTCCAGAGCCATGAGCCCGAGGTGCTCTCTCATTACTTTAAAATGCAATGATGCATGCACACACATCCTTAAAACCTGTATTCCACTAGGCTCAACCGTTCAAGATTTTTGCTCCATCTTCGTCTGAATTATTTTCCCCTTCTCTTTCCAATTTAACTATCTCATTTTTCTTTTGGATAATGCAGTTTGACTATCTCAAGAGCTTGGAAATAGAGGAAAAAATCAATAAAATCAGATGGTGTCAAACAGCCAATAGTGCCCTTTTTCTCCTTTCCACCAATGATAAAACCATCAAGTTTTGGAAGGTAGGAAGGAAATCTGTGCCGTAACTGCTATCTTAACTCGGCCTTGTTTCAGGTTGATTGTTGATTGTTCATATTAAACACTTTGTCTGCAATAAGTAGTGGCTCATTCATTTATTATGGAATATTTTCTGCACAACCCTTGCAAAGTTAGTGGTCCATAGATAGACTGATTCCTTTTTTTTTTTTGAAAAGTAAGGAAAATTTTATTAGACAGTAGAAGAAATTATCATTGTTAGGGGCCTCATTAAAAAACCTCCCTAAGCCTAAGTGGAGGAAAAAGAGTGCACCCTAAGCAGTGACCACAAAGACCAAGCAACAAAACTAAACATATTATTAGACTGATTCCTCAGAAATGCTTAGAAAAGAAACTCAGCAATAAATCTCATTTTATCCTAGCTAATCTTATGAGCATTGTTGTTAAGCATATTTAATGATTGATATTATGATCTGTGGATATCTCTGCCCTTGCATTTTGACCCACTTATTTATCTGCTGTCTGTACGAGGGTTCAACAGGTACAAGAAAAGAAAGTCAAGAAAATTTCTGACATGAATTTGGATCCATCAAAAGCTGTGGGAAATGGCAGCGTTGCTAGTTCAAGTATCCCTAAACCTTGTCTTGTGAATGGAAGCTCCTTTGATGGATCCTACAACAATTTGAGCAACGATTTCGTTTTCCCACCTAGAGGCCTTCCATCTTTGCGTTTACCTGTGGTAGTTGTACTTAAACAATCGTTTTTCTTATTCGCTGCGATGAAGTTTTAGGCTCATATTTATATACATTTCGAACCGTATGAGTTTTAAACAAACTATTTTTTTTAATTGGAATACAAGTGCAAAATAGGGTGATGAACTTCTTTGTAGCACCCATTGTTTCCAAGAACAGTACTTCAACTAGGTATAGGACATACTCTCTCTTGCCAAACTTAATTAGGGGCAAAGCTCGTGTTTCTTTGCCCCATCTTTTGGTGATGAAGACAAATGATATTCAGTTTTCAGCCTTTTACATAATTTTTTTATCATTTCCTATAAATATGCACTTCGATGTTTTTTTATGTAATATTCTGTTAGATTTTAGATTCTGTATTTATTTTTATTAGTGAGGAATCCACCACTTTCTGCTCTGTATACTTTTTGAATGATGGGGCCTTCATAACTGTTGGTCACACAAAAGCTTTGAAGATCACCTGGTTGTCAAATAATCATGAGCATTTTCTTTTGTTGTCTAATTGTCTTGGCTTCTCAACTTTTGATCTTTTCTATATCTAGGTAACAAGTCAGGAGACCAACCTAGTGGCCAGATGTCGAAGGGTATATGGCCATGCTCATGATTATCACATCAATTCTATTTCAAATAACAGGTAGCTATTTGCTTTTGTTTTTATTTCAATTGCTTAACCTCTATTATATTTTTGTTGATATATTTTCTTAGTACTTTGCAGTATCAATCTGAGGTGCCCTGTGATGTTATCTAGTTTTAGGTTCTAGATTGGAGTAGAGATTAAAACCGGCACTGGTTGTGCATTTTTTTCGTTTTCCATCCAAATTTCGTGTTTTATTAAGGCATATGAATTTGTATTAATAATGATAAAGGATGATTGATTTTTCAAGTAATGATATAATGAATCCTGATAGCATTCTGTTCTGAACTTATGCTGTCATGTCCAAGCTCCAAGAAAGAAGCTGCCATTCTGAAATGGATCTTTGGGGATGCCATTCATGCTTTAGAAATGAAAGGCCGATTCATGATATTGAGAAAACTAGAGAACTTCTAACCGTATAATATAAATGATATGGATGGAGCTTTCCTTGGAAATTATTCATCTCCTTTTTAGGCCTTGGAGACATCACATTTGCAGGAGAACTTGAGGCTCTATCTTTTGAACATGATTTGTCCGAGGCATCATGAGGAATATTTGAATCTAAAGTATTAACCTTTTATCATAGAATTATCTAGTACTTATCTTGAGATCGAATTGTCTGTACACAATGTTTCTGCTGTTGTTCGTATTCATGTAATTTCTTTGGAAATCCTTATGCTGAAGCTTTAGGCTTGTATGCAGTTTGTATTTTATCAGAAATTAGTAAGCTGTCGTGTGACAAGCTTGCTCGTTTTGTTTGAAATTACATCCTGTTTCAGTGTTATGCTTTCGTACTAGTTGATTTTCAAAGGTATATTGATAGTCTCTCACTCTCTCTCTCTTATAATTCCTAGCGATGGCGAAACTTTTATATCAGCTGATGATCTACGTATAAATCTTTGGAACTTGGAAATTAGCAGTCAAAGTTTCAATATTGTTGATGTAAAGCCTGCAAACATGGAAGATCTAACTGGTAAATCTCTTACATGTGTGTACTTTCATCGCTGCCTTGACTTATGAAAGTATATGTGACTTCGGTGCTGTCTAATAAATTCACAAAAGCAATGTTTGAACCATTGTCATGTCTATCTATGCAGAGGTTATAACATCAGCTGAGTTTCACCCTACCCACTGTAATATGTTAGCTTATAGTAGTTCAAAGGGTTTAATTCGCCTCATTGATTTGCGGCAATCAGCTTTGTGTGATTCTCACACCAAATTGTGAGTGTAATACCATTTATCACTTCTTTTGTTGAATTTACTCAGATTTGCATCAAAAATTTAAAATACCATGCTATAATCCTGATATGTGAGGGTATTATATATTTACTATTTGCTTTCAGTATTCTTTCTGAACTATAAGTAATATTATATGCCAACAGGTTTGAAGAACCAGAGGCACCTGGTTCTAGATCATTTTTTACAGAGATAATTGCTTCAATCTCAGATATCAAATTTTCAAAGGATGGGAGATATATTCTTAGCCGTGATTACATGACTCTTAAGGTTTTGCTTTGTTTCTTTCTCATCTTGTTTTGCTTTAGTTTCTTGTTTTTGGTGTTGATATGTAATTATGCTTTGCATTGCATGAGCTTCCCATTATGTATGTAATTCTTCTTAAACATGCCACAATGACTTTATGTGACCCCTACTTAATTATCTACAACCTTATTCAGTAAGACAATGAAAGGATTTTTTTTTTGATAAGAATTTCAGGCCTCGTTAAAAACCCCCTTATTGATTAATGGAGCTTATATGAACTCCTTAATCAGCGGAAGGAGGAAAAGAGTGCCTTAGGATTTTATTGAACCATAAAATTACATAAGATACAACCATCATACACCCCACCAACCAAATAAACTCGAAACAACCATAAAACATCCAAAATATAAATATAGAATCAACCAATTCCTTCTTTAGCTAAGGCATCAGCCTCTAAATTGGCTGTCCTATTAACCCATCTAACAACACCTTCTAAAACATTAAGCCTATGAACAATATCTTTAATCAAAAAAGCATAAACATCAGGAACTAGATCCACTTTCTTAATCCAGTCTACCGCAACTTTGCTATCGCTTTCAATAATCAGACGTCCCTTCCTCTCTTTTAAATTCGCATAGAACATTAGACCCTTCTGAATAGCTTTTAATTCCATAAAAGTTGGAGGGCCCGGACCAGCAGTTTCCTTGAAAGAACTTAAAGTCAAACCCGAGGAGTCCTTTTCCTATCCTACTCTTCTTCCAATCTCTTGTAGTAGCCGCATCAACATTTAACTTTACAAAACCTTGAGGAGGAGGAGACCAAGGAAATTTAGTTACAAGTCGATTAGGATAAAGAGAGCACAAATCCCCTAATGAAGGGTCTGAAATAAGAGAATCCTTAGGAATAGACACCTCTTTGTACTTAGCAAGGAACCAAGAAGCTAGTCTAAACCTTGCTAGGAAAAAATACTCAGCCAAATCCAACTTTCCCCCTTCAAACACAATAAGATTCCTAACTTTCCAAGTAGTCCAAATAACTGCCCCAAGAATAAAAGACCAAATTGTAGAGGTAGACTTCAAATCAGCCCAAGCAAGAAGGAAGTTTTTCGCATTAACATGCAAAACAGACTTAATCTTCCAGAAATTCAGAAATTTGTTCCAAATCGTCCATATCACCGAACACGTGAAAAACAACTGCGAGGGAGACTCCACCTCCATCTTACAAAGAGGGCACATGATGTCTACAATTCCTTGTATTCCCCTTTTAACAAGTTCTGTCCTAACAGCCAGCTTCCCTAACACCACCTGCCACATAAAGGACTCTACTCTAGGTGGAATCTGGCCCCTCCAAATAATCTTCTTCCAGAAATATACCTCTTACGAATCCGAAATAATGGCTGAACAAATCTTAGTGCCAGATTTAACAGTGTATACCCCATCTCCAGTACCTTTCCAAATCACCCCATCACATAACTCCGTAGATAGAGAAACAGAGGAAATAGCGTTCATCAAGTTAACCCACTGTTCTACTTCCCAGTCGTTTAAATTTCTTCTAAACTGCACATCCCAACTCCAACCCGATGAGCTGTAATTCCCAAATTCAACCAGTTTACCCATTCTGTTTGTGGAAATGGAAAACAATCGAGGGAAAATAATTAGAAGAGGATAGTCCAAAGCCCAATTATCTTGCCAGAACCTAATCAATCTGCCATCCCCAACTCGGAAAGAATACAAACTTCTAAACTTAAAGCCAATACTGTCTTCTTTAAAGTGATTCATAACCACCGATCTCCAAATCCAAGATACTCTTTGTGGGACTTTGCTGTCAAACATTAACCAAGATGGATCCATATTGTATTTAGAACAAATGAATTCCCTCCAAACAGACCCCCTTTCATTAGCATACCTCCAAGACCATTTTGCTAGAAGAGCTCTATTCATGAAAATAAGATTTCTAACACCTAAACCCCCCTCGAATTTTGACTTGCACACATTCGGCCAGTTAACCCAATGTATCTTATTTTTACCTACTCCCCCTCCCCATAAGAATTTCGCCATAATGGAGTTGAGAGATTTAAGAACCGCAACTGGTATCTTAAATAAAGATAAATAATACGTAGGGAGCGAACATAGAACCGACTTTATTAAAACCAACATTCTTGCTAATGACAGTGAAGAAGCCTTCCACCCCGCTAATTTATTCGTAAAATTATTCACCACTGGATTCCAAAGTAATGTAGAGTTTCTAGTAGCACCCAAAGGCAGTCCTAAATATTCAGAGGGAAAACTACCCACAGAACATCCGATAGAATTAGCCCACTGCTGAACTTCTTCCTCGTTCAAATTCACACCAAACAGTTTACTTTTCTTCATGTTGAGCTGTAAACCAGAAATCACTTGAAACACTCTAAGCACCCTCTTCACATTTAAAATCTGCGTCTTAGATGCACCACAAAACATAATGAGATCATCCGCGAACTGTAGATGAGATAATTTGAAAGCAGCCGCATCCCTTCCTATAACCAGTCCAGAAAACAGACCCTGTTCCACAGCCTTTAAAATTAGCAGATTGAGAAGTTCTCCAATAAAATTAAACAACAGAGTTGATAGAGAGCACCCCTGTCTAAGTCCTTTAGCCATTGCAAATTCCTCAGTAGGAACTCCATTCACTAAAACAGAAACTGAAGCTGTGGTTACACACTTTCTGATCCAACCTCTCCACCTGGAACCAAATCCTATTTTCTCCATTACTAGAAACAAAATGTCCCAATCAACCGAATCATACGCTTTCTTGAAATCTGCCTTGAAAACACAACCTTTAAGACCATTTTTCCTCCAATAATCCACTCCTTCATTCGCAATTAAAGAACAGTCCAATATTTGTCTCCCTTGGGTGAAGGCAAATTGAGTAGGACTAATTAAGTCTGAAATACAACTCCTCAACCTCCTCGATAGGCACTTAGATAGGATCTTATATAATCCACCAACTAAGCTAATAGGCCTATAATCATCAAGGTTATCACTGTTAGAGACCTTAGGAATAAGAGTAATAAAGGTATGGTTGATGCCATAATCCCAATCTTTCCCCGAATAGAAGTTGAAGAAGAACTTCATAATTTCTCCTTTAAGTACATGCCAATATCTCTTGAAAAAACCCAAATTAAAACCATCTGGCCCCGGGGCTTTGTTGCTATTGCAAGACTTTAAAGTCTCCCATATTTCCTTCTCAGTAAATTCTTTCTCCAAAATTAAACTCTGCTGAATCGAAATTCTGGAAAAATCCAACTCGATTTCTTTCACTTCTAAGGTCAATTTGTCATTAAAAGCCTTAAAGAAGTGTTCTTTGACAGTGGCTTTTATAACATTTGGGTCTTGAATAACATTTCCCCTGCTTATAAGAGCATTCAACGCATTTTTTTTCCTCCTAACTGAAGCACATGTATGGAAGATTCTGGTATTTCTGTCCCCATCTTCTACCCATTTGGATCTAGAATTCTGGAACCAAATCTGCTCCTCTATCTTATGCAACTTTTATAATTCTGACCTTAACTCCTTTAACTCAGCTGCTTTCTCATCATAAGTACCATCTTGCTGTTGTTGGACCTCCACTTCTAATTTTTGAATCTTCAATTCTATTTCTGAAATTAAAGCTCCAGGAAACTTTTCTCTCTTCCCTGCCCAATTTTTAATGGCAGTTTTGGTTTTTTTCAGAATTTTGAAAATTCCAGCATTCATCTGTATCTCTTTCCATTCTTGAATTGAAGAGCTGATCACATCCTCAAATCCTGCTTCATCCATCAGATAGTTAAACAGTTTAAACGACTTTTTCCCCCAATTTACACCTCCATTCTCAATTATTACTGCATTATGATCTGACAATGATCTTGGCAGCAACGAGTGTGTTAAATCTGGAAAAGCTGCCAAGAATTGGCTATCAACCAAAAATCTGTCCAGTCTTACATAGGTCGGAGAATCTTGGTTATTACACCAAGTAAACCTACCTCCACTCAATGGCAAATCGATTAAACCTGTATTAAGAAGAAAACGATTGAAAATCTCTAAAGAATTCCTGTTTTGGCCTCTACCAATCTTCTCATCTTCCTGTAGATACACATTAAGGTCCCCTCCAACACAAATAGGCTCAGAATGTCCTCCAATGAACGTGCTTAATTCTTCAAAAAAACTCTCTTTCTCCTCCTCAACCGAAGGACCATACACATTAAAGAATCTGCAACTGAAATTATTTGCCCGAAATCTCCCGATATAGAAATAAATCTTCTGGATGTACACTGATTTTGCAACTCAAATACATTATCATCCCAAAACAACAGTAATCCCCCTGACGAACCAACCGATGGTGACTCAATAACCCCTTGCAAATTATTTAACCCACTCCTCCTCATAAAAGACCGTTGAATTTTCTCCAATTTCGTTTCCTGCAACCAAAGAAATTGAGGACAATATTTGGAAACTAGCCTCTGAACAACACTTTTTTTCTCTATTCTACCCAATCCTCTAACATTCCATGTTATTATAGATATCTTTAACATCATCATAAAGAAATCAACCAACTAGTCCCCCCGCAAAATCCCCCTGCTTGTCCATCCTCAAGCCTTTTTCCAAACTAATAATCTTATCCAAAAAGGCTTGTTGTCCTTGTTTAAAGGAAATACCCAACAGCTTACTTATCTCCCAAGTAGCTAAAGCTTCATCCAATAAATCTGAAAAACCTGAAGAGGAAGCTGTTGAAATGCTCACTCTTTCTAAAGCTTCCCTTAACAAATGTCTTCTAGCTCTTCTGATAAAAAAACCCGATTCAAAGCTGTGATTATCACCCATTAACTGCAATCCTTCAACCAACCTCTCCACACTGATATCCCCCGAATTCGATCCATCATTCACATCCTCACAACCCTGAAACGAAATATCTTTAACATTCCATATTCTAGGTTTTTTTGGCATTTAACGCAAATGTGATTCAATTCTGTGGTCTTTATCTGCAAATATCTGCTTGACAAAACATCCTATGTTTTTAGACATTTAACATAAATGTGACTAAAATGGAAACAACAATTTGGCTTGTTGGTATTTTGGCTTGGACTCGGCTAGTCGAGCAATTTATTTATTCTGAAGAGAGCTCATCATGAAGGCATGAAACAAGTGGGGGTTAAGATTAAATGTTATGATAACTTCTTTTATCCATCGAGAATAAATATACAATGCAATCATTTCTAAAGTCTTTATTGCGGAACCCATCAAGTGGCCTCATTAGTTAAAAGGATTGTTGTTCTCCTAGAAGTCCTGGGTTTGAGCAGCTACCTCTGAAAGGGGTATGTATGTGGTCAATAGTTAAGAAAAATTCTAAACAGATACTACCTTGTAATCACCCCATATTATTCAAAAAAATAAATATAAATAAATATAGTCTCTGTTGTGTATTCCTCCCCCATTCTTTATTTGAATCAATCACATGCTGTTTGCTTTCATTTTTTAACCTTTGAACATAAATTTGAATCCCTCACAATATTGTTAATTAATCAGTACCTACTTCTTTTGTTAAAATTTGTACCAGTATGCCTACTTTTCTGCTGTAAGACTTCCGATGTTAGTTTTAAACTTAGTATCCTTGATATAATATACATTTGATATGTCCTTAATGGGCATTTTAGGACTTTTCGTCTGATTTTAATACATATCACTTGGTTGTCAGTTGTGGGACATCAATATGGATACAGGTCCAGTTGCAACATTTCAGGTTCATGAATATTTACGACCTAAGGTATGATTTCTAAGTTCTGAAACAGATTATGAAATTAACATATCGATATTATGCTTTGAGAGAGCTGATTATTGCATTCTTTAATTGTTTCAGCTGTGTGATTTGTATGAAAATGATTCAATTTTTGATAAATTTGAATGTTGCCCAAGTGGTGACGGATTGCGAGTGGCAACAGGTTCCTACAGGTTTGTTTTCATCCAAAAGTCTGTCTCCTAACTTCTTGTTGTGTTCTTCCATGTAACAATATATTTGTCCGTGTACTTTCAGCAATTTATTCCGTGTATTTGGTTGTGCCCCTGGAAGCACCGAGTCGACAACTTTAGAAGCCAACAAAAATCCAATGAGGTAAAATTTTACTCCAAGGCGATCTTTCAAACTTAAAATAAAATTAGATTAAAGAATGACACTCAAGTTGTTATAAGGATCCATTTGTCTTACCAGGAGACAAGTTCAGACTCCCTCAAGGCCTTCCAGACCCCTAAGCAGTATAACACGTGTTGTCAGAAGAGGTTACGATTTGTTCTTCATTTGTATCCTTTTGAGTATTTTTCAGTTCTTGATTTGTACTCTGAAGCTTTTATGGTGGTGAATTTGTGGTATCAGGATCAGAGACTCCCGGAGTTGACGCGAATGGAAGTTCGTATGATTTCACAACAAAGCTGCTGCACCTAGCATGGAACCCGGTTGAAAAAAACTTGATTGCCTGTGCTGCTGCAAACAGCTTATACATGTACTATGCATAAAGCTGATCCAACAAGTGTGTATTCACTTGGTTTAACATTTTTTTGGTTGTTGATGGTCCCGTTCCCTCCAAGCAGCGAATTAAAGGATAAAACGAGTCTCACACACTCCCAGTGTATCCGTAGCACACGGTGTAGTCTCGAGATCATGGAATGGCTGTCACAGATCCATGAGGATGCAAACCTATCATCGTTCCCAATTGTGCGCAGCTTAATTCTCGTAAGCTTGAGTCTCGCTCCCTTGGCCTGTTTGTGGTTTTGTTTTTACTTGCTTGATCTTCTTTTAAAACAGAAGGTGGAGTAATGAATGTTTTTTAGATTTTGTGTTGGGGTTGAAGTTTAGCAGCAAATGTGATTGTAGCTCTCCTACAAGAAAACTAAAGGGATGTTCATTCTATATTTACCACTTAGGTTTAAGGTGGGAAGGAGCTGTTTCAATTTTTTTATTTATTCTTTCCTCATGTTTGGAGCGTGCATCTTTTTTTTTTTTTTGCTGCTCTTCTCAACTGACTTCACAACCCACTCTAAATCAAAGTCCTTATTGACAGTTTCAGTATAGGTAATGTTGTTTTTTTAATAGTCTAGGGTGATTATGGGGCTTTGGAAAAGGAAGGTAACAATAAACTTTCAGGAAATTTGTGACCACCGCCCAAAATCAAAAGAGCTTGTTTGGATGGAAATTGGAAAGTTGAGTTCTTGGAGGCTTGGATTTTTCAATTTACTTGGAGAATAGGGAAAATCTAATTTCATTTTCCACACTTTTTTTATGTTTTTTTTCCAAGTTCAAATTCTTTTAAGTTTTGGACTTGAACATTTTAGGACTGATCGACTTTTGGACGTGGACCTGTTTTGCCAGCTAGGTAGGATGTTTAGAATATTGGCTTTTGGCCCCAAATTTTTGTATAGATTTTTTGACAGCTTGTTTTTTAATATTGTTTTTAAATTTGGGCATAATTTTAACAGTTTTTTTTAACAATTTTTACCTAGAGAACTTTTAACCACCTCTTGAGAGATTATGGACAATTTTAGTGCATTTTATCCTTTTCATCAAGATGGTCTTCACAATATCAGCAATGCATACATATATATATATATATTAAGTAGATATATATTACATTTTAAAAGTAAATATAGGGGTGTATGGTGGGACAATATGAACAACCTTGACAATTATTTTTAATTAATGGATCAGCAATGCAATCTTGCTTTAACATATCAATCCCGGTATATGGATATTCACATGCATGCAAATGTGAAGGACGACAACAAAGACGAGGATGACAGGTAGAAGGTTACTGATATGAAAAGCTCTTCCTGGCCATGTTCAAAATTCATTTTCTTTGGTGGTGGTGATCATTCAAGTTGTTTGATGCTTCTGTCCGAGTTGAGAATCCTTCATCTCTGCATGCGTGTGAAACTGCTATACCATGTAAACGTTGTCCGAATGAATCCACAAGTACAGGGACCAAGGGTCTGATCTAAAAGCTAAGACTATAAGAAGCTGAAAAATCCAAGTGGAAACTTCATATTGCCAACAGAATTTGCTAAAAGATCACTCAAAAATAAAAGTTAAACAGTCTAGTAAACATCAGACCACAAGAGTAGAGGAAATTTGAACCACAAAAGTAAATGGCCACACCTCATCTTTTTATTGATTCTTCTTCGACATTATTGTCAGCATCGACATCTTGGCCATACCTTTCAGATAACCATTCCTCGGCTGATGTAACCGAAGTGTAAATCTAGCCATTCCAAGATTTTCAGATGCCTGAAAAGTACAAAATCAGGTCAGAATCTGCACAACCTGGACAATTTAAGTTGTACAACCATTTTACATGTAAGAAAAAGATACTAATCGGCATGCCAATGCCAACTAAAAGCAACACTTTTTATTGCAACCTTCCAGTACGAACTACGAAGGCAGATTAATTTATTAAACAGATGCTATTGCCTGCTAAAGATGGATGTGAGACGGTTCAATTAGCTAAATATTTGGCAAATTTGAGATTCTCTATGCAGTTTAACGCTTCCAAGTTCCAACCAGGAGATTTTAAATTTTTAGTGTGTGATTACAGTGACTGGGGAAAACATGATGTTAACTCTATTAAGAGCAAAAACTAAACTTGTGGAAGAATAATTCCTGAAAGCTTTGCTAAGCTTAAATAGTAAATTGTATAAACTCCAGTAATATGAGAAACCATAAATCCCTGATAGACATAGGTTACCTCTTGTTCAGGTTTCTCCTCCAAAATTTTCAGATCACTGGTGTGTACTGGAAAAGGAAATGAAAGAAGCAGGTTAGTTAAAACACCTCATAAGGAAGAACAAGACCATGGAGTGCAAAGATCTTCTAACAAATATCACAAACATCCAAGATAAATTCCTATGAACTGATAAAGCAATCAGGAAGATATTTGCACAAAATGGTACTCTCCAACTTGCTTGAAAGAAAAATGTTAAAAACACCAATCCTGTCACAAAGAAGGACTAAGATTTCGCTAATGCTAGGCCGGAAAATGGAATGGCACAGGAAATTTAGCACAGAGAAAAATTTTCAATTTAATCATTAAACTTCTAAATTACTTGTATTTCAATCACTCTTTGATGATGTGGATTATTTTATTATTATTATTATTATTATTATCTAATGCCAAATAAGATTTAAAATCAAAATTCTTAATCAAAATTCAAAACCTTGAATTAGCACATTGAATAGCGAGTTGGAGGCCATTGGTGAAAGCAACAGCATCCCAGTTGCCAGCATCCACAAAACGTTTATTTTCACGTCTTGTACTTGGTTTAACCCATCGGTGTTGATTTAACATAAATTCCCCACAACTAATACTAATATGGTTTACATGAATTATCCGTATAATTAAGTGGCAGAAAAGCTAACCAAAGAGGAGCGATGTGTGTATATGGGATGCTTGGGTCTATGTGAATGCATTGGTTTGTTATTTTGGCATGATGTTTGAACTTTGTTAAAAGACTGGGCAATGAGTGTCAAATAAAAGTATGTGTTTGGCATGGGAGTATCTGCATACCAAATTCAATGCATCTCTGGACAGCGTTAGCAGGATGTGATTCTCTAAGGAACTTCAAATTCATGAAAAGTTTTCAAAAGAATTGAACATTCTTGTGCAGGAGGATGCTTGTCCTATCCAACATTTGCACTAAAACCCGGGTCAAAATCCAAATACTTTGGAAGACAACTCTAATAAAGAATCCAAAGCACTGGGAGAAAACTTCCTAACAAAAAGAAAACAAATAGTTGTTGGGTGGCCATTATAAACACATTCTTGACCTTCAAAGATTCTCTGAAAGAATGCTTCAGACATATCCTCCTTCCCAAATGTGGCCGGATGAGCGCCACCCCTCGACCAGTCCGTCCACGTAAGTGTCCGGTTGGCCAAGAGCCGAGGCACTTGGATGGTTAACATCGTGGTGAAATAATGCTCGTCCACATAACAAGCCAGCTGGCAAAACTCCTTAAACTTTGGATAATACTTGATGTCCTCGATTATGTTAATCGCAAGCCTCCTGTTAACTTTGAACCACTGAGCCCCCTTGCGCCGTTGGCTCAGTTCGACCTTCGGTTCCATGCGTGGATCGTAGCGGCCTCTCCCGTAAGGTCTGGGATCGTCGTACGATTCCATGAAGCTGTATTTCGATCTTGATAAGTAGTGGTAGATCACGCTGAAATTATACAGAGGGATGCAGGACTCGGACAGGAGAACAAACCATTGGTTGGAGATATCGAGCAATGCATTGGCAAGGAGTCTCCTCTCGGCCTCGCACATACTCATCTTTCCCCACTCCACCATCTGCATACTCAGACAACAACTAGCAACATAAGACGGCAAAGTATACGAAAACAAAAAAGAAAAGAACTTGGTTTGCTAATTACCTGGCTTGGGATTTGTCTTCCATGGAAAGCAGAAGATTGCGGATAGCCGGCAACTTAAGACAGCAACGCGTGGACATAGATCAAGTAATGCCTTTGATTCCCCTTGAAGAACTTGTCCCAAAGAGGAGCCCATCGCAATGGCCCCTTAGTCAAGAACATGAAGGCAATCTTGGGGACTCTGAGAAAAGGATATTTTTTGATCTTAGGGACAAATGAAGCTCTCCAAAGTAGTTCATTGTCACTGATTGAATGCCACAAGTTTCGCGGAGGCCTAATCCATCTTTCTATGGTATCGGTCTCGTAGAACCACGGGTGTAAAGAGGATGGTGTCACTATGCCTGTCTGCTGGAAAATGAAGAATCGAACGGAATACATACAGATGATCGATAGCCGACCGCCATTACCGCGAACAACAAACAAAATAAGAGGAGTCTCAAAGGCAATGTCCTGGAGATGTTTATTCTTATTACAGAGGCCTGGTCTTTACCTTCTACATCCTGGGTTGCATCGTTTTTGAAGACATCTCCAAGTAAAGTAGTTGTTGGCTTGAATATTTATGCTGATAATCCTCTAATTTGATCATTTTGTGTATCAACTAATCTCTTTCTTATAACCATGTATTAATGAAAATCGTATTTTCTCTCGTTGTCTTTGTTTTTTCCCCTCAACATGCTCATTAAATTCTTTACCATGCATTTTTCTTGTACTTGCATATTTTGGAAGATTTTTCCATGTTTGTAAGTAACATGATAAAGAAATATTTTCTTGACCTTAGCAGAGACATCCATACTCCATTTGGATGGTGAGAAAGTAACATGATAAGTAATAGTTGGAAGTATCTGCGTGTCTTTGACCATGGAGGAGGTAACTCAACATTCTCATATGAGTCCGATTGATAAGTGAAGGCTTTTTTGCTTCAAGGTAGGTTGAGCTGAAATAATTATAAAGTGTGTTAATCGTATGCATAAATTTGATTAGATCCATGAGCGCCTTACTATGGAAGGCTAAAACGTGTGAAGTTGATTGGGTAAGTGATGAAATTGCCTATTTTTATAATTGGATGACCAACTTATAACAAAACTTACTAATAGTTAAATGACCACTAGTATAATGTACTCTTACCCAAAAAATAATACTTACAACAATTGATTTTCACGCGCTTGAAAATGAGAGTGTAGTTAAATTATTGATTCACACCTTGCAACTCCCATGCTGTTCAAACGCCTATATAATCATTACAATTTTCAAAACCAAAAAAAGGGTTTTTTTGTTTGCTGAGAATAGAAAAGAAGACGACCAAACTTCACCCTGCTCCACTCTCTAAACTCCCAAGCATTTGTTTTTTAGGGAAAGAAAGTTTGACTTTTTATATATATATATATATATATATTGTTGTGAGCTTGAGAGGGCGAAAATGGCGTTTTCTACACCTTACCAGACGTAAGTTCACTTAGCTTTTGAAACTGGTCAAAACTCTGCCTTTGCTTTGTTTCTTTGGGACTTTGGCAGTTAGGATGGACAA